GAGTCATTGTTGGCATGTCTGGATGAGCAAATTGATATGGTAGGTCTTCAATTCTCAATGGCTCATCTAATTATTTTGGGAGATTTTTAACCATTGAATAAAGAAAACATTGAGGAGATTTTTGAACTTCCCCCTCGAAATTCTAGAGATCAGGTGCTTAACATCTCTGGACAAAATTTAAAGGCATTATTAGATATGTTTAATTTAATAACTATAAATTGAAGAAGTTTGGGGGAAAGAAGAACATTTTACCTTTATTTCATTGACTGGTGGTAGTATTCTTGATTATATTATTCCTATAATTAATTGGCCCTTCTATAGGGATTTCTCAATACTTTCTTGCCCAGATAGCAATCAACCTCTCTTTATAATTATGCCCAATGTGCCCTTTCTGAAGAGAGTTTTGTTTCCGATGGTTGAGGATGTCTTAATTACCCCTTGGGAACAACGTGGTTGTAAAAGACTAAAATGAACTCCTGACATTTGTGACAAAATTATCTAGGAGATTGGAGGACTCTTAGAAATCTAACATCTGAGACAAATTATTAAGTCCAAAAATTCCTCTCAAATTTGTCAATCACATTTGTTATTGGTAAAGTCCTAACAATCACTTGTTTGTAAACTAGCAGTTCCCAAACTATGGGTCGCAGCAATCCGTAATGTGCGGCGAACATCATTTTGCTTTGCACAGCATGCTCTAGCATGTACAGCGCGTGCAAGGTCACGATGCATGGAGGACACCATTTTGCTCTACAAAATGGCGTTCTCTGCACAGCGCGACCTCACATGCACCATAGGTATGAGGTCATGCTGTGTGAATGAAGTCATTTTGTAGAGTAAACTGGTGTCCTCCATTGTGACTTGACCTCACACATACAGTGCATGTGATGTAACGCTGTGCAGATGACACACTTTAATCTTCAAAATGGCTTCCTCCATGCTATCTAGGGTCCTGGGAAAAAATAATTTATTAAAATGGGGACATGCCAGCAAAAAGTTTGGGAACCCTTTTTTAAACAAACCAATTTTGATTTTAGCTATTCTAAAAATGCTCTCAAAGATAAACACACTTGATTTGAGGCAGACTGTGTGAAGAAAAAGTCTGCTTTAGCACACATAACTAACAGGGTAAGATGCAATTCCTCTCCTAATTTACTTAAGAATTTTAGTAGCTGCCAGAAGAAGACATAAAGACTTATTATATACAAAAAATAAGAATATCTTCGATATCTGTGGAAGGATTTTGAAGCAGCAGCTAGAGCTAAAAATTATCCCATGTTTAATGAGATGGTAGCCTCAGGCACTGGTAGAGACACTTCAGTTGAGGAACCCTATAGTAATGATGAAGCCTAGATAGTACATTTTGGCCAGGTCTTTAATGATTCCCCCCAAACCAGTTTTTTTAAATCTAATTTTACTATAGTTGATGCAATGAGGAATCCTCTGTCTGATTTACCTCTCTGGTCTCCAGTAAAGAACAGTGAAGTATAGTCATTTATTTTAGTCCAACGACAGAAAAAAGCTTCAGGGGAAGATTTTTCTCCCTGCTGAAATTTTTCAGGAGAATCTTAATTGGTGGTGTTGGCTAAATTATTTACTGCCGTTAATCATACTTGATTGATTACGTCTAACTGGAAGTCCAGTACTGTAGTTCCTATTTTATTTTTAAAACAGGAATAGAAAGAATCCTGTTTCTTACAGACCTAGTAGTCTGATAGATGTGGCAGGGAAAATTTATTCCAGATTTTTATTGTCTAAACTTGAAATACAAGCTTTAGAAGCTAATTTATTACACAAAAAGCAGTCCTGCTTTAGGGCTGGTATAGCCACAACTAATAACTGTTTTACTTTATCTTGTATGATTTATAAATAACCCGTGGTTAAGGATACTCGATTGTATGCTGCTTTCATGGAGGGTAGGTACATCAATGGCTATTAGCCAGGATGGCCAGGGATGGTGTCCCTACCTCTGTTTGCCAGAAGCTGGGAATGGGCGACAGGGTTGGTTCACTTGGTGATTACATGTTCTGTTCTTTCCCTCTGGGGCACCTGGCATTGGCCACTGTTGGAAGACAGGATACTGGGCTAGATGGACCTCTGGTCTGACCCAGTATGGCCATTCTTATGGTCTTAAGACAGTAAGGTAATAAGTAACAGTCAGCATGGATTTGTCAAGAACAAATCATGTCAAACCAACCTAATTGCTTTCTTTGACAGGGTAACAAGCTTTGTGGATGGGGGGAAGCAGTAGATGTGGTATATCTTGACTTTAGTAAGGCTTTTGATACTGTCTCACATGACCGTCTCATAAACAAACTAGGGAACTATAAGCTAGATGGAGCTACTATAAGATGGGTGCATAACCAGTTGGAAAACTGTTCCCAGAGAGTAGTTATCAGTGGTTCACAGTCAAGCTGGAAGGGCACATCGAGTGGGGTCCTGCAGGGGTTGGTTCTGGGTCCGGTTCCATTCAATATCTTCATCAATGATGTAGATAATGGCACAGAGAGTACACTAATAAAGTTTGCGGATGACACCAAGCTGGGAGGGGTTGCAAGTGCTTTGGAGGACAGGATTAAAATTCAAAATGATCTGGACAAACTGAAGAAATGGTCTGAAGTAAGTAGGACAAATGCAAAGTACTCTACTTAGGAAGGAGCAACCAGTTGCACACATACAAAGTGGGAACTGACTGCCTAGGAAGGAGTACTGCAGAACGGGATCTGGGGGTCACCGTGGATTACAAGCTAAATATGAGTCAACAGTGTAACACTGTTGCAAAAAAAGGGAACATCATTCTGAGATGCATTAGCAGGAGTGTTGTAAGCAAGACACAAGTCTGTCTACTCCACACTGATTAGGCCTCAACTGGAGTATTTGTGCCACATTCAGGAAAGATGTGGACAAATTGGAGAAAGTCCAGAGAAGAACAAAAATGATAAAAGGTCTAGAAAACATGACCTATGAAGGAAGATTAAAAAAATTGGCTTTGTTTAGTCTGGAGAAGAGAAGACTGAGGGAGGACATGACAAGTTTTCAGCACATAAAAGACTGTTACAAGGTGGAGGAAGAAAAATTGTTCTCGTTAACCTCTGAGGATAGGACAAGAAGCAATGGGCTTAAATTGCAGCATGGGCAGTTTAGGTTGGACATTAGGCAAAACTTCCTAACGGTCAGGGTGGTTAAGCACTGGAATAAATTGCCTACTGAGGTAGTGGAAGCTCCGTCATTGGAGATTTTTAAGAGTAGGTTGGACAGACACCTGTCAGGGATGGTCTGGATAATGCTTGGTCCTCCCATGAGTGCAGGGGAATGGACTAGATGACCTCCCGGGGTCCCTTCCAGTCCTACGATTCTATAAAACAAAATGGCCCTTAGCTCTGCTCAAGGGATGCTCTGTTTTACCTGCTCATACGATGAGAACAGAATTGCCCAGCACTAAGAATTTTTAATGCTAAAATAAGATCACAGATGGTCTATGGGGCCGAAGTTTGGCATAGGGCCATATTTCGGCCTTAGGGATTGTTCAAAATAATTTTCTGAGGAGACTTTCAATTTTTATATGCTGAGGTGGGTGTTCTTTCTTAAGTAGTAGAACCTGTACTGCTTTTCTTAAATTTTGGTTTAAGTTCTGTGCTCTTCCAGATTATAGATGGCCCCGTCTTCGCCTTCAGGAGATGGAGGAACAACCTGCGTACTCCTTATTTCCATGGTATAAGACCTTTCAATTTATTATAGATGGGTTGGGTTTTTCTCTTACTGTTGATATATTTTAATCAACGTAATCAACTATTCAAACAGACGATGACAGATACTACAAAGAAGATCTGGCTATGATTCACAATTCTAAGTTTGCCTTTTGGTTTTCTACTTTGAAGATAGCTCACGTTTTTAATCAAACCTATATTTATGTAAGGCATATACTCAATTAAGATTCCAAACCATGGAAACTGCTGTCCCGTAAAGCAGACATAGAAAAGTTCCTTTACATCTTATCTTTTCCCCATGTACATCTGGAGTGTTGGAAGATCTACCTCAGTATCTTTTGGACTGTAGAATTTTCCAGGTGCTGAAAGCATGCTTGTTTTTATCTCTTTTGTATCAAAAAGAATTTTTGTCACCATCCCAAAAGCTAATGATTAGCTTTTTTCTCAGTCCCAAATAGAGATCAAATCAGTGGCAATTTTTGCCCTTTTAGCATTGTGCCGAAGAAGAGAATATTTATTAGGCTCTGACTGTTATTTTAACGTATTACATGCATTATGTGGATGTTGCTTTTGGGGGGGTCGGAGGGGAGGGGTTGTATTTGCAAAAGACATGAAACATATGCTAATTGATAAAATTCAACGTTATTTCATTCAGTAATGGTCTCACCAATGTATTATACAAAAGAAATACCACCTCCCTACTCCTGCTCACCAATCCCCTGTACATATATGTCCAATATTCACGTTAGCCTTCCAAGGCAAGGCATTGCAGTTGATGCTCAAGTTCAGTTGGTTATCGACACTGATCCCCAAGTCCTTTTCAGAGTCACTGCTTTCCAGAATAGCTCTCCATCCTGTAAGCATAACCTCCTTTCCCCCCAGTAGCATAATGGTGCATTTGGTTGTACCAACCAAGAGACCCAGCTTGTCCTGTATAGAATCATAGAACTGGAAGGGACCTTGAGAGGTCATCTAGTCCAGTCTCCTGCACTCAAGGCAGGGCTAAGTATTATCTAGACGATCCCAGACAGGTGTTTGTCCAACCTGATCTTAAAAATCCCGAACGATGGAGATCCCACAAAGAGCTATGCCTTCTCTGCTCCCTGCTCCCCTCATTGGCCCTCCTGCTGAAAGAATAAGCTTTCAGTGTTCATTCAAGCCATTCAGTCTTCAAACCCCACCCTCACAATGGGGTTTGTCCTGCTCAGTCCTAGCTGTATTCAGCCCCCTGCTCTGTCACAGGTCTGGTTCCTAACAGGACTTGGCTAAAGGGATGCTGAGTCCCTCACTCACCTGCTCCAGCACCACTTGGCTGTCAACCACGCCCGGCTCCTTCTGGCTGTTCGGTTTGATGCAGCGCACAAAGTGTGGGTTAGCAGAGTACATTCGCTCCATCAGCACCGATAGGGAATGCTAGTAGGAGGCAATGACACAGGTCAGGAGCTCAGTATGCCAAATAATTTCCTGATTTTTGGCTCGTTACAACAATCTGTAACCCATTCACCCTCCTTTGTCCTAGGACTACAGAGGTGTCAACTGGCCACTTCATTTTGAATGGCCTTTTCCCAACATCTGAAGAAGTGAGGGTCTTACCCACGAAAGCTTATGCTCCCAATACTTCTGTTAGTCTTAAAGGTGCCACAGGACCCTCTGTTGCTTTTTACAGATTCAGACTAACACGGCTACCCCTCTGATACTTTTCCCAACATGTTAATTCCTTATCTGTTCCAACTTGTAGTTAGCTGTGACACTCTGAGTACATTGCCTCTATGTCAGCTTGAAACTGAAAGCTTGCTTCTTTTGCCAACAGATATTAATATCAATAACAGATATTACCTCATCCATGGGCGGCGGGTATCGTAGGCATGGGAAGACTGTACCTTCACAAACAGCCTGACATGTCCCCACCCATGCTCTACCCCCAGGCCCCATCCTGCCTGCTGTAAGGCTGTTCCCTTTGTGGCAGAGGCCAGGGCCGCCTGCTTGGGGCTGGGGCCGCTCCGGGCGCCCGCCCAGCGCTGGCAGCTCGGCTGGTGGGGCACCTTCAGGGGCGGGGAGGCCGGTCAGCTGGGTGTCGGTCTGGTCGGCATGGCCCAGGGCAGCCAAGGCATGCTGGTCGGGGGTTGGGCCGGGTGGCACGGCCCAGGGAGGCTGGGGCTGCGCTGCCCAACTCTCTGGTGCTCTGGGGGCGCTAGCCTGGACAGGGGCTAGCAACCACAGTGTGGGGGGTGGGCTGGGGGCGCTGGGCAGGGGCCAACAGCTATAGAGGGGGCTGGGCTCCGGTAAGCGTGGAAGGGGCGGGGCAGGGCTGAGGGCCAGTCTCCCCAAGCCCAGGGTTCACCCACCAACCATGATCTCTTCCATCTTTTCTCGCTAATATCCTGGGACCAACACAGCTACTATAACACTGCAAACAAAGAATAATCAGACCCTCCTGGATCCATGGTCCTGTTGGTGAAAACTCCATCAGCAGTGCCAGCCAGGGCTCTGGCAGCAGGAGCTCCCTCTCAGCAGTGCAAATCAAGACTCCCCCCCCCCACTACAGCGTGCATTTGTAGCTCAGAGAAGTCCTTTCTCCATGTGCCAGGAGCTCTATTGACTATGCTCAGGTACCTGGGGGCCATTTCGGCATTTCCTTGCATGTTACTAAATAAGCATAATAAAACAACAGTACTTTACCCGGAATTGAGCACCCACTGATTGCTTCCGTGTGTTGTTGAAGTTATTGTCTGTTCCTGGCAAGACCTGAAACCAGACCTAAACATGTATATCACATACTCCAACATCATTCCCCTGAGCTCCCAGCCCTGGAGCCCTGTCTCTATCTGAAGAACAAGCCCACAGGGCAGCTGGGAAAAGGACAAGAGAATGGATTTCAAAGGAGGAAAAGGTGAGTATGCACATGCCAAGGAGACAAGAGGGAAAGCCCAATGCCATAAAAGGAGGAAGAGCTGTAGGAGCAGAGACAGATTCCAATGTGCAGGGCTGCCTGTCCCCATTCTCTCTTGCCTCCTTAATTGCAGACATCCCAGGTGGGAGAATCATGCCACCAGGACCCAGTTATTGGCTGTCCTGGGGACCCCGTGGTTCTTACCTTGGCTTTAATGTGAGGCATCAAAGTCCCTGTTCTGGAGACTGTGGCTGGATAAAGAAAAAGGTAACACTGAGTTCTGCAGCCCCATCCTTCAAACCAGGTGAAACCATCAGCAGACACGGAAACCTCCCCACAAGTGCAGAAAGCTTGCCCTGGTGCCCCCTCTTCCCCAGATAAAAGTTTAAGTTTCACATGCTAAATACGAATGAACAAAACCCTGGAAAAACAATGAGCTTAAGAGCAGGAAAGGAACACTTGGAAAATGTACGGGAACCTAAAACAGGCAACCCAGGAAGTAGCATCTGGGACACTGAAGGAAATTGCTAATCAGTTTACTGAATAACTGGCCACGATCTTTGAAAGAGTCAGGGACAACTGGGGAGTGTGAGAAGAAAGGAGAAAAGCAGAAATAGTGCCAATCTGAAAAAAGTAAGATGATGGATCCTGACAATTACTACTACCCTGTAACGTTTATCCCTAGCAAAATAATGGGAATATTTTAACAGTGTAAACAAAAACAAAAAAAACCAGAACCCACACAACACTGAATATCACGAAGACAACTGAACTATGAGCAACAATCAGCATGGAAGGTTTATAAAGAGTCATACCAGGTAAGTTATTTAAATAATTACAGGATGCGGTTAAAAAACAGATAAAATAGAATTGAATTTAGTGAAGGATGTGATACAGTCTCGCACAACCTGGATACAACATTGTCACCTGAACTGAAGACTGGCTGAAAGACCATAAACACAACACAAAGATAAACAGCAAAGAAATGAGCAGGGGGGGGAGGAGGAAGGGGGAGGATGAGGTTCGGTCTTATTTCGTATTTTCATTAATAATCTGGAAGAGGTAAGCAAACAAGACATTAATGAAATTTGCCCATAGAACTACACTGGAAAGAGTTGGAAATCCCACCAAGGACAGAAAAATGCTTAGACCCAGGTTATTTATTTAATTTGCTAAATGCCAACAGGTAGCTGGAGCTGAACAAGACACAAAAGATTGTGTGTCCAGAATTTTAGAGTGTAAACATACCACACAAGGAAATTCTGGGGGAGACAAACACCTGAAGAGCTTTATTTTAGCTTTTAAAAACTATATGAGAGCTTTTGGGGACTCTGAGGAAGTGGAGTGTTTGCAGGGAGCATATGAATCATTGGAGATTAGCATTTCGAATTCAGAGAACAGTATCATAGGCAGAAAATGTAATTTAGCCAAATGGAATCCAGGTTCCCACTCATTACCAGTCTATTTATATTGTAAACTCTTAAGAGCTGTGACCTCACCTTTATTCTTTTCTGAATGTGACTTCAGGAAGATGCAGACACTCATTTATACCCAGATAAACAACTCCTTGGAAAAAATGTAAACCATATGGATATGGGAGTCATCTGAGAGAAACTCAATGGGAAGGTACCAAGAATGGCAGAGAGAGCACTATGTTAGCCAATACATATATGTTAGGTATAGCATAGACCACATTAATAGGTATTATGCGCATGGTATTAATATAATATTAGGGCTGTCAAGCGATTAAAAAGATTAATCATGCTGTTAAACAATAATAGAATACCATTTATTTAAATATTTTTGGATGTTTTCTACATTTTCAAATATACTGATTTCAATTACAGCACAGAATACAAAGTGTACAGTGCTCACTTTATTTTTAAATACTTGCACTATAAAAAAATAAAATAAATAATATTTTTCAATTCACCTAATACAAGTACTGTAGTGCAATCTCTACCATGAAAGTTGAACTTACAAATGTAGAATTATGTACAAAAAAACCCTGCATTCAAAAATAAAACAATGTAAAACTTTAGAGCATACAAGTCCAATCAGTCTCACTTCTTGTTCAGCCAATCGCTCAGACAAACATGTTTGTTTACATTTGCAGAAGATAATGCTGCCTGCTTCTTCTTTACAATGTCACCTGAAAGTGAGAACAGGGATTTACATGGCACTGTTGTAGCCGGTGTTGCAAGATATTTACATGCCGGATGCACTAAAGATTCATATGTCCATTGATGCTTCAACCACCATTTCAGAGGACATGTGTCCATGTTGATGACAGGTTCTGCTTGATAACGATCCAGAGCAGTGCGGACCAACGCATGTTCATTTTCATCATCTGAGTCTGATGCCACCAGCAGAAGGTTGATTTTCGTTTTTGGTGGTTTGGGTTCTGTAGTTTCCGCATCAGAGTGTTGCTCTTTTAAGACTTGTGAAAGCATGTTCCACACCTCGTCCCTCTCAGATTTTGGAAGGCACTTCAGATTCTTAAATCTTAGGTCGAGGGCTGTAGCTATCTTTAGAAATTTCACATTGGTATCTTCTTTGCATTTTGTCAAATTGCAGTGAAAGTGTTCTTAAAATGAACAATATGTGCTGGGTCATCATCCGAGACTGCTATAACATGAAATATATGGCAGAATGTGGGTAAAACAGCAGTAGACATAAAATTCTCCCCCAATGAGTTCAGTCACAAATTTAATTAACACATTATTTTTCTAACGAGCATCATCAGCATGGAAGCATGTCCTCTGAAATGATGGCCGAAGCATGAAGAGGCATATGAATCTTAAGCGCATCTGGCACATAAATATCTTGCAACACCAGCTACTGTTATACCAATAGAATAAAAACCAGCAGGATTTAAGTGTGGGGGACAAATTATGGGGGAGGCCACTGTCACTTGGGGGAATCACTGTTAGTACCTTCTTTAATATCCCTACACTACAACAGTGCCATGCGAACACCTGTTCTCACTTTCAGGTGACATTGTAATTAAGAAGTGGGCAGCATTATCTCCTGTAAATGTAAACAAACTTGTTTCTCTTCACGATTGGCTGAACGAGAAGTAGGACTGAGTGGACTTGTAGGCTCTAAAGTTTTACATTGTTTTGTTTTTGAGTGCAGTTATGTAACAAAAAAAACTACATTTGAAGTTGCACTTTCATGATAAAGAGATTGCACTATAGTACTTCTATGAGATGCATTGAAAAATACTTATTTTATCATTTTTAAATGTAAATATTTGTAAGCAAAAATAATATAAAGTGAGCACTGTACACTTTGTATTGTGTTGTAATTGAAATAGATATATTTGAAAATGTAGAAAAACAACAAACATTTAATAAATTTCAGTTGGTATTCTATTAACAGTGCAACTAATTGAGATTAATTTTTTAAATCACAATTAATTTTTTTGAGTTAATAGCGTGAGTTAACTGCGATTAATCGGCAGCCCTATATAATATACATATATAGTGTGTGTGTGTGTGTGTGTGCACGCGTGTTGGAAAGTTAGGTTAACTGAATGTATTCTAGTCTCCCTGCAATTCCGTTCACCCATGTCAAATATCCCACAGCACTTTGAAAAGTTGAAGTCATCTTTGTCATTAGAAAATAGGAAGTCTGTCGAAGCCAAAATACATGAACACCGTGTCCTAGCACAAGTTGGGGTTTACCTCTATGCCCAACTGGTTCGGAATTTAGTATCCAAAACAGAGATTAAGAAAAGTACAGAACAAAACAAGTTAAGAAACTGTTACAAGCTGGTTGGCTGGATTTTAGTAACATGTAAGTAGTTTTGTAACTATAAATACTACTAGCTGAAATGAATCATAGACTATTAGCGTTGGAAAGGACCTCAGGAGATCATCTAGTCCAATCCCCTGCTCAAAGCAGGACCAATCCCTAATTAAATCATCCAACCAATTTTTGCCCCATATCCCTAAATGGCCACCTCAAGGGTTGAACTCACAACCTTGGGTTTACCAGACCAATGCTCAAACCACTGAGCTATCCCTCCCACCAAATGCATATATTTGAAGCACACCTTCAGTGTAAGGTGAACATACTGCAAGAATTTGCTTCCCAGAAGGAGAGTTGTTTTGTGACTATTGGGCCTACAAAATGTACCTCAATTGTAAACTCAAAAATAAGAAATGAGTGAAAGTTCCTAAGATGTTACAATAACCATGAAAAATAGGTCAAGTTGTTTATAACACTGAATGTTGAAACAAGTGGCAGAGAACCAAAGAAGCTGGATTAGTCTAACCCAAAAAGGCCATGTTGATATAATCCAAAAACTGTTGAAATTATGCTTGGTAAAACAGAGGGCATGGAACCAGAAGTTAATCTATCAAAATTGGTGTTACGGATAGTATGCCTAATTGGTGGACAAAATAATGAGGGGGATGAACTATGCCACCCTTGGGCTTCTTAAAGAAACTTTTGGGAAAAAAATCATCAGTTCAGTTCAACTCTCCTTTTCTTTTCCCGTCCCACTGTGCATCCCAGTTCATCCCCCTACCTGCCAGCACTGCAACTCATCTAAAGGACTTTCTTCCTGAGAGGAAGACCGGCTGGCCTTGCTCCTGTTTACGGAACTTTGTTTTCACCTGTGAGTGCTGAAAGTCATCGCGTTATCATACACAATGTAGTCATAGCAGGATATTAAAGACACAAGGGAGATAAGGTAATATCTTTTACTGGACCAACTTTTGTTGGTGAGAGACCTGAAGAAGAGCTTTGTGCGACTCAAAAGCTTATCTCTCTCACCAACAGATGTTGGTCCTATACCTCACCCACCTTGTCTCATTGCATTATCATGTCATCCAGTCCTCAGCCCACCAGTGGGGATATATGATTAGCAGCACTACAAAGGCACTATATTGAATTCTCTACCCTTGTGGTATTATTTTATGCCCCACTGGACATCGAGGTGCTAAAGGAGCACTCATGATGATAAGGCCGTTGTGGAGAAACTAAATGAATTCTTTGCATCGGTCTTCATGGCTGAGGATGTGAGGGAGATTCCCAAACCTGAGCCATTCTTTTTAGGTGACAAATCTGAGATAGTATTCACCCAAGAGTTCTGAAGGAACCCAAATGTGAAATTGCAGAACTACTAACTGTAGTCTGTAGCCTATCATTTAAATCAACTTCTGTACCAGATGACTCAAGGATAGCTAATGTGACGCCAATTTTTAAAAAGAGCTCCAGAGGTGATCCCGGAAATTACAGG